TTGTGGTCCACAACTTGCTGTTCTCCTAACCAAGATGTTCCAGTACTGTTACAACACTAGCATCTACCAGACAATGTGGAAAATTGCCCAAGTACGTCCCTGTACGCAAAAAGCAGGACAAATCCAACCTGGCTAATTGCCGCTCTGTCAGTCCACTATCGATCATCAGTAAAAAGTGATGGAAGGTGCCAATAGCAATCAAGCAGCAACTGCTCAGTGATGCCCAGTTTGGGTTCCGCCAGGGCCACTCAGCTCCTGATCTCATTACAGCCTTGGTTTAAAAAATTGACAAAAAAGTTGAATTCCAGAGGTGAGGTGCATTCAACCAAGTGTGGCATCACAGAACCCTAGCAAAACTGGAATCAATGGGTATCATGGGGCAAACTCTGCAGCGGCTAGGGTCATACCTGACACACAGAAAGATGGTCGTGGTGATTGGGGGTCAGTCATCTCAGCTCCAGGACATCTCTGCAAGACTTCCTCAAGGTAGTGTCCTAGACCCAACCATTTTCAGCTGCTTCAATGATCTTCCCTCCATCACAAAGTCAGGAGTGGGGATGCGCGTTAATGATTGTACCATATTCAGCACCATTCACAACTCCTCAGACACTGAAGCAGTCGGTGTCCAAATGCAACAAGATCTGGACAATACCCAGACTTCAGCTGACAAGTGGCAAGTAACATTCATGCCACATAAATGCCAGGCTATGACCACCATGAACAAGAGACAACCCAACCACTGCTCCTTAACATGCAATGATATTACCGTCACTGAATCCTCCACTATCAACATCCTGGGAGTTATCATTGATCAGAAACTCAGCTGGACCCACCACATAAATGCAGTGGCTAAAAGAGCAGGTCAGAGGCCTGGAATACTGTGGCGAGTAACTTACTTCCTGACTCCCCAAAGTCTGTCCACTGCCTACAAGGTACAAGTCAGGAGTGTGATAGAATACTCCCCACTTTCTTGGATGAGTAACGCCCCAACAACACAAGAAGCTTGACACCATCCAGGACAAAGCAGCCCACTTGATTGGCACTGCATCCACAAGCATCCTCTCCCTCCACCACTGACGCTCAGTATCAGCAGTGTGTACTGTCCACAAGATGCAGTGCAGAAATTCCCCAAAGATCCTCAGATAGAACCTTCCAAACCCACGACCACGTCGATCTAGGAGGAGATGGGCAAAACATATCTGGGAACACCACCACCTTCAAGTTCCCCTCCAAGCCATTCACCATCCTGACTTGGAAATATATCACCATCCCTTTATCGTCACTGGGTCAAAATCCTGGAATTCACTCCCTAATGGCATTGTGGGTCAACCCACATCAGGTGGACAGTAGCGGTTCAAGGCGGCAGCTAACCACCACCTTCTAAAGGGCAACTAGGGACAGGCAATAAATGCTGACCAGCCAGTGATGCCCACACCCCACAAAATTAATTTTTAAAATCAAATCATTCCTCATTTTTTCTATACTCCCGTGGAAACAAGTCCAGTCAATCCAACCTTGGAGCACAGGACACTAAGTGGGGGGTCATGTTTGAGATATATAACATTATACAGGGCACCTATAGAGTAAACGAGAAGGAACTTTTCCCCTTGGTAGCGGGGTAAACGACCATAAGGCATAGAATCCCCTACAGTGCAGAAAGAGGTCATTTAATCCATCAAGTCTGCACAGACCCTCTGGAAAGTATGCCACCCAGATCCAGTCCCCACCCTTTCCTCATAACGTCAGTCATTTGCCATAACTAACCCACCTAGCCTACGCATTCCTTGACACTACAGGGCAACATTGCCATGGCCAATCCATGTAACCTTCGGACTGTGGAAGGAAACTTGAACACCCAGTGGAAACACACACCGATGCAGGGATAACATGCAAACTCTACAGTCATCCAAGGAAAATCAAACTTGGGTACCTATCGCTATGAGGCACAGTGTTAACCACTGAACCACTGTGCAGCCCATCATGCCCTGGATATTTGAAATATCTTTCAGGGTCTTAAAAAGTGATTTGGAAATTCTTAATTATTTTAAAATAAAGTTTATAGAGAATTACAGTACGGGAACAGACCCTTCGGCCCAACTTACCCATGCCGACCAGGTTCCTTAAACTAAACTAGCCCCATTTGCCTGCACTTGGCCCACATCCCTCTATGCTTTCCTATCCACGTACACATCTAAATCTCTTTTGAATACTGTAATGGTACGCATCTTTGCTACTTCACCTGGCAGCTCATTCCATGTACGCACTACCCTGTTTGAAGACGTTGCTGCTCAGGTCCCTTTTGAATCTTTCCCCCCCTCAACTTAAACGTATGCCCTCTAGTTTTGGACTCCCCTACCCTGGGGAAAAGACATTGGCTATTCATTTCAACCTCAAGGTCACCCCTCAGCCTACTGAACTCCAGGGACAAAATGTCTTAGCTTATCCAGCCTCCCCTTATTACTCAAACCCACCAGTCTTGGTAACATACATGTAAATTTTTTTTGCACTCTTTCCAGTTCAATGACATTTTTCCTTTTGCAGTGCAACAAGCATAGTATTCCAAACGTGACCTCACCAACTTCTTGTACAGCTATAACATGACATCCGAATTCCTGTACTCAGTGCTCAGACCTATGAAGGCAAGCGCGCCAAATGCCTTTTTCACCACCCTGTCGAACTGTGACAACACTTTCAATGAACAATGTACCTGCACCCCTAGGTGTCTCTGTTCGACAACACTCCCCAGGGCCCTACTATTAACTATACAAGTCATGTTCTGGTTTATCAAAATGCAGCAGCTCACATTTAAATTGAACTCCACCTGCCATTCCTCTGCCAATGACACAGTTGATCAAGATGCCATTGTACTCGGATAACATTCTTCACTGTCCACTATACCACCAATTTTGGTGTCGTCCACAAACTTATTAGCCATTTGTCATCCAATCATTTATATAAACGATAAACAACTGTGTACCCAGCACCTTTCCTTGCAGAACCCCATTGGTCACAGGCCTCCAGTCCAATAAACAACCCTCTATTACAAACCTCTGTCTCATACCATCAAGCCAATTTGTATCCAATTGATTAGCTTTATGTGGATCTCATATAATCTAACCTTACTAACCAGTCTACCATGTTGAACCTTGTCTAAAGTCCATGTAGACAATGTCTTTTGCTCTGCCTTCAACTATCTTCCTCGTCATCTCTAAAAGAACTCAAATCAAGTTTAAGAGACATGATTTCCCTTGCACAAAGCCATGCTGACTACCCCTAATCAGTCCTTACCTTTCCAAATACATGTAATCCTGTCTCTCAGAATCTCCTCTAACAACTTACCCACCACTGGTGACAGGTTCACCAGTCTATCGTGCCTTGGCTTTTCCTTACTATCTTTCTTAATTAATGGCACATTGGCAACCTTCCAGTCTTTTCAGTACCATGCATGTGGCTGTCGCTGATTCGAATATCTCTGGTAGGGGCCTCACAATTTCCTCCCTAGCTTTCCTCAATGTCCTATCAGGTCACTTTTATGTGTTTTAAGACCTCCAGAACCTCCTGTTCTGTGATGTGGACTCTTTTCAAACTATCACTATTTATTTCCCCAAGGTCTACCTTCTGTGTCTTTCTTCACAGTAAGTATTCATGAGAAATTAGTTTAGGATCTCACCTAACTCCTGTTGTTCTACACAGATGGCCTCGATCTTTAAGGGGCCTTATTCTCTCCCTAGTTACTCTTTTGCCCTTGATATACTTGTAGAATCGCCTTGGATTCTCATTTACCACATGTCAAACGTATTTAATGTCTCCTTTTTGCCCTCTTGACTTCCCACTTATGTGTACTCCTACACCTCCTATACTTCAAGGTATTTACTTGATCTCAACTGTCTATACCTGAACTATACCTCCTTCCCTTTGACTGGAGCCTCAATATCTTGAGCCATCCAGTGTTGCCTACTCCTACCAGCCGTACCCTTCACACTAACAGGAACACGCTTTACCCGAATGTTCATTACCCCAACTTTGAAAGCTTTCCACTTGCCAGATGTCCCTTTGCCTGTGAACAGCCTCCCCCAATCACGTTTTAAAAGTTCCTGTCCAATACAATCAAAATTAGCCTTTCCCAAATTTAAAAATTTAATTTGTGGAACTGGCCTATCTTTTTTCATAACTACTTTAAAACTAATAGAATCACAGTCTCATCATCATAGAATCCCTATAGTGTGGAAATAGGCCCTTCGGCTCAACAAGTCCACACTGACCCACAGAGCATCCCACCCAGACCCATCCCCCTATAACCCACCTAATCTACATATCCCCGAACACTATGGGCAATTAAGCATGCCAATTCACCTAGCCTGCTCATCTTTGGACTGTGGGAGGAAACCAGAGCACCCGGAGGAAACCCATGCATACACGGGGAGAATGTGCAAACTCCTCACAGACAGTCACCCAAGGGTGGGATTGAACCTGGGTCCCTAGTGCTGTGAGGCAGCAGTGTTAACCACTGAGCCACCGTACCATCTCTGATCCCAAAACGCTTATCCAATATCGCATCCTCGCCCTGCCTTAAATCCCAAGAGGAGGCCGAGTTTTGCCCCTTAAAGTGTATTCTGCATTTGTTTAGACCTATTAGATTTAAAGGCAAGTGGCAGGGGGTTTAGGGATGACAGAAGAGGAGAAAAGCAGTTAGACAGACTGGGCTCCATCTCCATATATACGGTCTCCTTTAAACCACACACGCCAAACACCCCCACCATCCCACCACCCCTTCACCCCCATCTTCAGCATATATACCACCTTTCCTAGCTTCCACTAGTTTTGAAGGGTCACTGGACTTGAAACATTAACTCTGCTTTCTCTCCACAAATGCTGCCAGATTTGCCGAGTTTCTCCAGCAATTTCTATTTTTATTTAAGAAAATCTTTACTCCAAATTTAAACAAAAAAAAAAAAAAAACAAACAATCAATCAGTGACCTTGACTGAAACTAGGACTCACCTGGCAGGGAGCAATGATGATGCATTAGCTGTGGTGATTCCTTCAAGTTGTCTACTCATGATCAGCCTATACTTTTCCAAGTTCTCTGCAGGTACATATGTGATACTGCAACAAAATAATGTAAACATACAAATCCCACACTTTATTAACAACTTCATGGATTCTAAAAAAGTGGCGAAGAGATGACTGCATCAATAGGACCGCTAGGGATACCTGAAATACCTTTAGGCTCTCAAAAAGTGATTTGGAAATATGATTATTTTAAATCAAGGTTTATCTTAAAAGTGTATTCTGAAGTTGTTCAGATCTATTAAATTAGTATCTGAATCTTTGAGTACTATATTATGTTTCAACATGCATTTCATATCTACAACTTATAGATTCTATGGCTTAGAGGCATCAAATAGAAAAACGAACATGAATACACTTCAAACAGTAACAGTAAAATGTTGCAGATGCTGAAGGATCTGAAATAGAACAAAGTGCTGGAGAAACTCAGGAGGTCTGGCAGCATCTGTGCAGAGAGGGGCACAGTGAACATTTTGAGTCTAAAAGTTCGAGTTCCAAACAAGAGACATACTGGACTCAAAACGTTGCCTCTTTCTCTTCACAGATACTAATAGACCTGCTGAGTTCCTCCAGCACTTGCCATTTGGAATAGGAAAGTAAAATCATTTTGTTTTTATGCCAGAGTCAAATTCTCTTACACTTCTCATTCATGCGACGCTTTTATTTGGTATTCCATGAGTTTTCACATTCTTTTTTGATTACAAATTTGAGATGAATTTCCCTACACAAGACACTAATAATCATTTACTGAAAATAACAGTAACCAATGGAAACATTTCTTTTCTCTAAATCCAACCTGTTACAGTTGCAGGAAAATCAAAAAAGTGCCATATTCCAGCTAATTATTTGATTTTTTTTCTCTCCACACATAGATGGGGTCACTTACATAACGTCTCAATATCCTATTTATCTTGACTAAATCTGAATTACTCAAATTCTTTTTGAAGATTTATTTGTATTGTTAGTCAAAGTAATTGTTGATAGTAAGCCAAAAGGAGCAAAGATGAAAATGGGACCATGAGTGAAAATGGATTGGCTGCACTGAAAGCAGCCCATGTCATGACAGGGCCCGATTGTGGGGACGGATAAAGGACATGGAAGGAGGTGGTCAGGCTCTAAAGTTATTGAACTTAGTGAATCCTGAAGGCTACAGAGTCCTAGGTGGAAAATGAGATGCTGTTGTTCCAGCTTGTGCCAAGTGTCAATAGAGCATATTCTATTTGTAAAATGACCCCGAGCTTCCAGTTGCTTGCAACTTCAACACCACCATATTGCTGGCCAACATTTCTGTCTCAGGGCTGCTCCAGATAAGCTCAATCTATCTATCCTTCCTCATACTTCAAATTCCCCAGCCCAGGCAACATCCTGGCAAATCCCCACTGCAATCACATCCTTCCTATAATTTGGTGACATGAACTGCACACAGTACTCCAATAATGGCTTAACCAACATGTTGAGTTCCAACACATCCTCCTTGCTCTTCTATTCTACGAATCAGCTAACAAAGGCAAATCACAAGCCTTCTTTACCACCTCATCTACCCACTTTCAGATGTCTGTGGGTATGCAGACCAAGGTCCTTCCGATCTTCAATATATTCATATTCCCTATCATTCATATTGTGATCCTTTGACTTGTTAGCCCTCTCCAAATAGAACATAAAACAATTCAGCACAGAGACAGTCCCTTCAGCCCACCAAGCCTGTGCCAACTATGATACTATTCTAAAATAATCCTGTCTGCTTGCACATAGTCCACATCCTTCTATTCTCTGCCTGATCGTGCATCTGTCTAAATGCCCCTTAAAGTTTGTTATTGTATCCGCTTCTACCACGTTCCCTGTCAGCTTGTTCCAGGCACCTACTACATCAAAAAAAGACTTTCCTTCCTCACCTTAAACCTACATCCTCTAGTATTTCACATTTCCATCCAACCTATCCATGCCCCTCATGATTTCAAATACTTCTATCAGATCACACCTCAGCCTCCAAAGTTCCAGCGAAAACAATTCAAATTTGTCCAGCCTTTTCTTATAGCTAATACACTAATCCAGGCAACATTCTGGTAAATCTCTTCTGCATGCTCTTCAAAACCTCCACATCTGATTGTGCAGCGACCAAAACTGCACAACATCTACTCTACTGCCCTCATCTATCTTTTTGGTCACCTTTTATAAAAATGCATCGGTTCACACTTTTCCAGGTTGAATTTCATATGCCACTGCTCTGCCCATCTGAGCAGACCGTTGAATCCTCCTGCAGTTTATAGCTATCTTCCTCCCAACCAACTTTCGTGCCATCTGTGAGCCTCTTGACCATACTGCCTGCATTTTTATCCCAATCCTGCATACCACAAACTGCAATGTCCCCAGCACCAAGTCTGTTTTTGGTGAAACAGGACATTCAGTCTCAAAAACATCCTCTACTGTCACCTTGTTTCCTTCTTCTTAGGCAATTCTGGATTCAATGTGCCACTTTGCCTCAGATCCCATGGATTCTTACTTTCTTGATCAGTCTGCACTGATTCACTAATTCAAAATCCTTGCTAAAGTCCATTTAGATCATATAGAAGAAATAACCCTCAACATTCCTGGATACCTACTCAGAAACTTCAAAATTGTCAAAACACAACCTTCCAATTCCAATGCTTGTTTTTATAATCAATTAAGCACCTGACAAATGTAAATGGTGCAAATGGGTTTATATGACAGAATGGCTTTTTATAAAAGAACCAAGCCTACACTAGTTTGAAACTTTATTTAATCTCAGCATGAGTCCTGAGGTCTGCTCACAGTGGATACAGGGTGAGTTGATACGGAAGTTTAGGGGTTTAGAACAAAGGACATCTTATCAGGGTATGCAAGATGCTAAAGAGGATTGACAATGTAGTTGTAGGACGGGTGTTTCCTGTGGGGAATTCTAGAATGGGAGATCATTGTTTTAGGATAAGGGAAAGCATGGATAACTTACTTCTCTCAGAGGGTCATGAATCAGTGGAATTCACTACCTCAGTGTGGTGGATGCTGGGGCATTGAGTAAATGCAAACAGACAATTTTAAATTAGTTATAGGTTGACCAGTTAATAACAGCAGGCAATTAAGTTGAGGCCGATGTGAGATCAACCATGATCCAATCAAATGGCAGAGCAGGTTCAAGGGGCTGAATTGCCCACTTTTGCTCCAAGTTCTTATGTAAAGGATGGTAGATGAGGGAACATGGCTTGGCATGAGTTGGAACTAAGTTGACACTAGGGCTATAAATAGCCATGGAGACATAGCGAAGATTAGCGTAGAGGTACGAGAGCCATGGGGTGAGTAGTAGGTGTATGAAGTGCCATGGGACAAATTGAGAGCTTGTGTAGATACGTGGTGAGGGCTGATGGATTGTTTTATGTTTCATTGATTTAAAAAAAAGGTCAAAAAATGTAGAGCACCAAATCCAAGCTTCAGCCCAGCCCACCTGTGCATCAGTTCTGGGGTCACCCAGCCTGACTCCCATGAAACAAGCACTCACCCAAAGCAAAAATCTGAACTTCCAGTTCACCACCTGCATCAGGAGCAGAAACTCAGGCCTTAGTGCCCAGGTTCAAAGAATAATTTGTTTAGGTTAGATGCAGACTACTTACTTCTTTGAAATAAATCTTTCAAAAAGCTCATCCCTTATGGGTAATTGATTTAAATACAGCATTCATTTAACTGCAATAAAGTAGGTCAAAAGCAGAATTTGAGAAGCTGAGACTATAACACTGTAGCACCAAATCACATGGTTCTGAACTGTCAAATGGAAACAGTATTAGTTAATGATTGCGAATGCACTGCTTTAGGTCACTGCTTTATTAAAATGACGCTTTTTGCTTTGTGATGACCAAATGTAGGATCAGCTGTTTACTTTTCTGGTTGCTACCTCTCCGTCAGGGAATGACAAAAGAAAACACGAGCCACCTGTAGCTTTTTTTTAAGCAAAATACTTTACTCCTAAATATTACAGTGCCTGTAAATTTGGACAGATGAACAAAAGCTTCACCAAAAAGAGGTAGACACAATGGAGCATGTAAAGGTAATGACACATGTAGCAAAGTGGATAGATTTAAAGAAATAATTCTAAATATTAAGCCGTAGATACAGCCGTCAGAGGGGTGATGGGAATTGAGGACAAAAATAAAAAGAAGATTTAAATTTATATAAAACCTTAAAATCACAATTAATCGCAGAACAGAATGAGGTCATTCAGCCAATCATGCCTTCATTGGCTCTATTATTTAATGCCAATCTCTTGAATTTCCCCATATCCCTGCACATTATTGATATCCAAAAAAAAACGACCACTTGAATGCTGCAGTTGAACCTGTCTCCACATTTTCAGGTAACGTATTCTATACCCTAACAGCTCGCAGTGTGAAAAAACGTTATTCCCAAATTGCCCTTGTTTCAGTTGTACATTAATTTAATGCCCTCTTGTTCTTATTTCTTTAAGAAGCAGAAACAGCTTCACCCTACCTACTCCAGCCAGCTTGCATGATTTGGAAAACCTCAAATAAGCTCTCTTCCCAGGCTCCTCAACACCAGGAAGATTTCTTTAATCTATTCACATACCTAAAGTTTCGCATAACAGGAACCATTCTAGTAAATCACTTCTGCAGTCTCCTTCTGTATTCTATTTTATATTTTCTTTCACCGTTCTTCCAACTTAAGTGCATCATCTCACTATTCTGCATGAATCTCATCTGCCCACTTCAGCAACTTGTTAATGTCCTTTTGAAGTTCACACTACCCTCAATTTAACAATCTCATTTGAAGTGTGGCACATCTGATTGTACAGCAGTCCCTCAACACTGAACTGAAATGTTTGTGTTGCAGTCCTGTCGTGGAACTTGGGAACCAGAGGCCAAAATTGGAGGAGTTCATGCTTACATAAAATGATAGCAGGACATCTCCCAGGACACCACTGGAACAGCCGAGTCTAGACATAATTAAGACAGAATTTGTCTCACCTACCCCCTTCATCAACAGCACAAGACCCAGCATATTCCCACCTTTTCAATTCAAGTTCTCAACAATCTTGATAGGACCTGAATTACAATTCTCTGGATTACTCCTGTAATATTACTACACTAGGGGTCAAATAATTGAGTACAGTAAAATGGGCAGGTTTTAAGAACAAAACTTATTTGAACATCTGAATCCCAAAATCAGCAGAATTCCATATACACCATACAGTCCACTGAGGCTGAACTTTCTCAATGCATTTTTCAGCATGAAGTCTGTGGAGTCCCTTCCAAAGCTTTAGTATCAGGCCCCATTCAGGTCAGGCCATATGTCAGGGACAACCCCAAAGTTTGGCAATCTTGAAAATCAGTGACACAGAAAAAGGCCAGTTGAGGTAAGTTATTTTCAGATTTCGAGCAGCTGCAATATTTTGATTTATTACTGATGATAATAGATGGATCTTGTGTAAGATACTTGATGACTTGAATCCCTGAAAGGATGAAACTAAAACAACTTCTTTAAAAGACAAAAATCAATACAGACTCTTCATGGGAAAGGAGAGGACCCAGCATAAGGTGTTGCTACGAAAAGTATTTCTTTGTAGGAAGAGAGAGACGTTGACATGACCCAAATGTACTTATAGGCCAATTTTCTACCTTTACTTGTATAACAAGATGTACCCATTACATTAGAATGCAAATCAAGAAACCATTGATCAATCTGGAAAAACCTACAGAAAATCTGCACAGAATCCTAGGTGATGCATCAAGGAATATATGACAAGATACACCAAAATTGCAAATTTTGAAGTCCTGAACCTTAATAATATGAAGTAAACAAATACATTATCTTCATGTGACAGAACTATATATAGTCTTTCAAATTTATCTTGAATAATCAAATTTTAAAGTTGAAGTAATTTAATTAAACCTGAAAGATTGAAACAATGTGTATCTGGCTAAAAGTCACCAGTGAATCAAACATGATTAAGTTTTCTGAAGAAGGGTCTAGGCCCGAAACATCAGCCTTCCTGCTCCTCTGATGCTGCTTGGCTTGCTGTGTTCATCCAGCTCTACACCTTGTTATCTCAGATTCTCCAGCATCTGCAGTTCCTGCTATCTCATGATTAAGGCATGCGGTGTTTATTAAAATGACAGTTAATCATTTTATATACTTGCAGCAGTTTCTTAAAACACTCTAATAATCACACATAAAAAGAGGATTGATCGTCACCAGGTGTATATGGAGATCTAGAATGTGAAAAGTATTATGATGCAGCATTTTTTACACTAGTGGCACATTATGTGTGCAATTTTCATGAAAGATGCACAGATATTAAAGCCTGGTATGAACTAACAGTGAAAATAATGGAGTACTTTGTATGCATTTAATACCACATACAAAATAAATCTATTTCATTGTGATTTCATATGCAGAATCATAGGGCTCGGGATACATGTATTCTATTCAATGTGTTTGCGGAGTTATCTAACTATCTAAGAGTTATCTAATTCGTATAGAATCATAAACATTGGCCTGCTTTCACACTGTAGGGATTCATTCAGTCCATTAAGTCCACACCAACCCTCCATAGAGTATCCCACCCAGAATCACCCTATCCTCTATCAACTCTGTGTTTCTCATGACTAATCCACCTCGCCTGCATAGTACCATAGCCCTACAAAGCAGCTCTGTAATTATGTTACTTTTAAAACATATCATTTTTCTGTTTTGAAAGTTTTCACTACATCTGCATTCACTAGCCTTTTAGACAATGAATTTTAGATCATAATTTATGGAGTAAAAACAATATCCTTAGTATCGCTGGCTATTTTGCTTAGCTCATTCCCTTTGCCATGGAAGGTGAGCTGAAGTGCTGCTTAGGCCCCTGTTTGCTAGTCTGTTTGTTTATAAACAACATTTCAAAAATTCATTGTTAGATTTCACTGGAAATTGAAATACAGGTAGGGTACAGCCAACTTAAGTAAAAAAGACCGACAGTTTTTGGAGAAGACATGGATCTGTATGCAGGTCCTGACATTTTAAATTAAAAAAAATGTTCGATTTTCCTTTAGAATGCTGTGGGCTGATTTAGAATGTTGTGGATTTTCTCAGTCACAGTCATAGAACTTGTCAAAGCGGTCAAATATACGAGGAGAGTTTTAGAGCTAGAAGGATTTAAACATTAATAGCTTTTCGTCTTTATCACCTATCTTTCACCACACTACTAATTATTCAAGTCTTAAATTTTCTTTTGTCACTTACATTATGTCTGGTCCAGTTAAAGAGTATCTTCGAAGCATCGCACGAGACTCAGCATTGGTGAGATCTGTAGTTGGTTCCCCATTGATTGCTAAGATGGAGTCACCTACCCCAATTCGGGCATCACGACTGATGGATCCACCATGAATAATGTTACGCACCATCATTCCTGAGCCATCTTTACTGGCACTCACAGTCATTCCTACAAGTTTAGGAAGATATTCACACATACAACAGAATATTAAAAAGTGTGAAATAAAGTTAGCCATTTAACACAAAAAGCCATTTTTCCCACGCACTTTTATAATTGTGGCTTTCCCAATGTATTTAGTTACCTGAGGAAAATGACAAAGTTCAAAAGATATTTCAAGAGAAAGACTTAAATTCCTCTGGTCTCTGCAAAGAAGTATTACAAGTGAACTAAAGTAATCAATTTCACTACTTGCTCGCTTCCTTTACCAATATTTCATTAGCCCCAAAATAACTGGAAACAGAGTTCGTTAACAGCAAAACATGGAATTTTCAAGATCTTTAATTACATAGCACTTCCTACAGAACACCAAATAAATTCCTACTCAAAGAAAAATGCCAGCCGTTCCTTTCAAACCTGATAGCTCAATCATTATATTACATCTATTAGAATGGCAACTAAGTGTTAACAACACTACAGACGGTTTTAAAAATAATGAATTTAAAACAAAAACAATATCATTTTTGAAATAAATTTCCTCCACAAACTTATTTTTCCCCCACTGAGATGATGCAAGATTCAGATTTTGCCATATAGTTTCTACAGCAGTAAAAAGTAACACCTACAGGTGGACTAACTCATTTGAGGCAGAGTTTGTACTTTGGAAGCAATCAGCAAGATTTTACTAAAAGCAAAATATTTCCAGCATCCAACTGCTAGAAAAACTCAGGTTTGGCAGCATCTTTGGAGTAAGAAACAGAGTTAATGTTTCATGAAATATTAATGTTTGTGTCCACAAATGCTGCCAGATCTGCTGAGATTTTTCAACACTATTTCAGCAAGATTTTCTAATTTTGTATAATGGTACACATAGAATCATCTATGCAACTGCAATCCTCAATTTTATTATTAAAAATACCGAATGAATTTAAGGGTGGTAATAAAGTGCAATATATAAATAGATCTGAAACGTTTGTAAAAATAAAAATAAAACATTTTAATTGAAGTGCCTGTCCACTACCAGTGAATAAAAACAGACTTTAAATAATTTTAACAGTAGAAATCACCTTAATGAACTACATATCATTTAATAATTAAAAGATGATATTGCAACTTCTGCAACATGCTAGTTCACTACACATCCAATCCATGGCTCTAAACAGCTTTCCAAACTCATCTGCAGTGGTTCTTTTGGTGGCACAAGTGGGGTTAATCTGGTTAGGTGGGTAGATATACATACAGGGGGCAGCACAGTGGCACAGTGGTTAGCACTGCTGCCTCACAGTGCCAGGGACCCGGATTTAATTCCAGCCTTGGGCCACTGTCTGTCTGGAGTTTGCACACTCTCCCCGTGTCTGCGTGGGTTTCTTCCGGGTGCTCCGGTTTCCTCCCACAGTCCAAAGATGTGCAGGTTAGGTGGATTGGTCATGCTAAATTTCCCATAGTGTTCAAGGACGTGTAGATTAGGTGGGTTATAGGGGGATGGGTCTGGGTGGGATGCTCTGAGGTTCGCTGTGGACTTGTTGGGCCGAAGGGCCTGTTTCCACACTGTAAGGATTCTATGATTCTATGGTGGAGCAAGTTAAAAAAGTGTTGAAATTTTCAGGATGTCAGAAAACTAGAACCCTTCAACTTGAGCTCCATCTGCAACATACAGCAAACACTCATGTGACAGGTAGTTCAGTGTTTTAAATGTGGGGGCACAGTAATTAGTGGTAATGGGAGGAAGCTGTCATGGGATCTGACAAAACTAGTCAGATCTGCAGGGGCTAACCAGCCCTAGCCATAAAAAAGGCACTATTACAATAAACATGGAGGACTTCAATATGCAGGTGGACTGGAAAAATTGTTGGTAGTGGATCCCAAGAAAAAGGACTTCCTGGAATGTCAATGAGACTTCTTTTTTAAAAAAATAAACAGCAGCTTGTGGTAAAGCCCACTACGGAACAGACAACTCTGATTTTGGTGATGTGTAATGAGGGAGACTTAATTAAGGTGAAGGAACCCCCTAGGGGACAGTGACCATAACATGATAGAATTCATCCTGCAGTTTGAGGGGGAGAAGCTGGAATCAGAAATAATGGCATTAAGTTGGAGGAAAAGTTAACTACAAAGACACAAGGGAGGAGCTGGTCAGAGTCAAGGGTAGGTCATGCTAGACAAGTCTATAAGAATTCTTTGATAACGTTGCGACCAAGTTGGATAAAGGATAGCAAGAGGATGCAACTTATATGGATTTCCAGAAGGTCTTTGATAAGGTGCCACACAGGGGGCTGCTAAATGAGATAAGATCAGAAGTAATGGTATTAATGGTGTTATGGGCAAGTACTGGCATGGACAGAGGATTGGCTGACTGGCAGAAAGCAGGGGGGCAGCCAGGGACTAGTGGAATTCCAGAGGTCATTGTTGAAACTATACTATTCACATTATACATTCATGAACTGGACAAAAGGAACTGATGGCATTATTGCTAGGTTTGCAGGTGTCACAGAGATATTGAGGAATAGGTAGCATTGAGGAGGTGAAGAGGCTGCAGAAGGACTTGGGCAAGGTACAATAATGGGTGCAGTGTGGCAGATAGCATACAATGTGAGAAAGGAGGAGGTAACGTATTCAAAGAGGCACAGACTTTTCTAAATGGGGAAAGACCTCGGAAATCCGAAGCATAAGAAAGGATTTGGAAATCCTAGTTCAGAATTCTCTCAAGGTTAATTTGCAAGTTCAACTGGCAGTTAAGGTGGCTCATGCAATGTTAGCATTCATTTCAAGAGGTTGAGAATACAAGAACAGAAATGTACTGTGAAGGATATAAAAGGCTATTGTCAGACTACACTGGCATGTTGAAAGCAGCTATGGGCCCCATATTAAAAAGGAAGATGGTGCTGGCCTTGGAGAATCTCCAGAGCAGGTTTACAAGAACGATCCCAGGGATAAAGGGCTTGTCATGGATGGAGCTTAGGGTTAGGGGTGGGATGTGTGCGTATGCATGTAGAGTTAGCAGGAGACACTGACATCCAAAAGGCCTTAGAGTGAAGACATGACCCTTTAGAACGAAGATGAGGAGGAATTTCTTTAGCCACAGATGGCAAAAGAGTAGTGAGTCTATAGAACTCATTGCCACAGGAGGCTGTGGAGCGCAAGTCATTTTGCATATATTTAAGAAAGAGAGTAAGGGATCCAAAATTACAGGGAGAAGGCAGGAGAACAGAGTCGAGAAACTTTTCAGTCAAGATCGAGGGGCAGTCTTGATGGGTCAAATGGCTTAATTCTACTCTTCTATCTTACGGTCTTATACTCCAGTGCAACAGCTGGTGGTCAGGTAACAATCCGGCAACAATCCAAATGCTCTATTGTTAGTTCAGAATTAGAGTCATTCACAGAGGATCTTGGGAAGTAGAGAAATTGTGTGTTGAAAGTTCGAACAATATAGAATCCCTAGAGTGTGGAAACAGGCCCTTCGGCCCAACAAGTCCACACCGAACTTCAGAGCATCCCACCCAGACCCATCCCCCCTGTAACCCACCTAATCTACACACTCCTGAACACTATGGGCAATTTAACAATTCACCTAACCTGCACATCTTTGGGCTGTGGGAGGAAATCAGAGCACCTGGAGAAAGCCCACACAGACACAGGGAGAATGTGCAACCTCCAGACAGACAGTCGCCCGAGGCTGGAATCAAAACTGAATTGCTGGCGCTGTGAGGCAGCAGTGCTAACCACTGAGCTACTGTGCTGTCCGTACATCCTGGACAATTTCTATGTCTGACTCATCTGAGGACTTCTATCAAGTTCTAACCTGCATCTTGGATCTTGCACTCATCTGAAAATCCAAAGACTGGAAAATCTGGCTCAATAAGTAATGAACTGCAATGGCAGAGTTGCAGCTACAGACTGCAGATGGCAGCAAGACATGATAAATTAGATTTGTACATTTTAAATTTTATATGCATTTTCAACAGCAAAATCCTTAGTTAAACAAAATAAACACTGAAATTAAAACAGGAAATGTTGTAAATATTTTAGCAAGAGCAGTATTTCTGTCATGATTCCAGATTTCCAGCATACAAAGTATAATGCTGCTACTTCAGAGATTAAATATTGGTTTTATACAGGAGCAGAAGTTTTATACATGATACTACCACACAACCACAATGAGCTTTCTATCTGCTTGTGACAATGGTGTCCATTTCTCTTCTTTCCATTTCTTAACAAGTCTTTCTTCCTTCAGGTTACTTACTAGGTGCTTTGCCAACATAAAAAAACTTATTTGTGCTCCAGTCAGCATATTTGATGGGGTGTGATTGTGAGGATGTGGGAAATAAATTACTCCACAATTTGTGAAGTTATCAACAAATGGCTTTCTATCCTTGAGGATGTAACTATAAACTACTATTTAAAATTAGGTCCATTGTCAGATCATTCATTTCACACAGACTAAAGGAAGACTGCAGGTGAAGCTTAGAACTTTCTTGATTTAAGAGTACAGAAATTGCAACAGGAAAAAACCATATGGCCTGTCAAGTCTGCTCAGTCATTTAAGATCACACTTGACACCTCCCAATAGGCCTCATTCTTTGAGACCAAAGATCTGTGACTCTCAGCCAGATCCAAATGATGGCATATCCACATGGTCATTGTGGAAAGAAGCTCGAATGCTCACACTGAGGATACTTCCCAGCAATCAATGTGGCACTACCGCGGTGCTGTGAGTTAGTTTCAAACAAATTTAGCTACTCCGGACTGGGCATCCATGACAATGCCATCAGCAGCAGCCGACTCATTTTAAAAGCCATGCACCCTGACAATAGCACCGAAGACTTGTACATCAGAACTTGCCCTCTCGTACAGCCAAACTGATCCAGTCCATCTACCCAAATATACAGAATTGCAGTTGTTATCTCCAGACACACAAAAAAAGGTCTATTAACAGGTAAAAAAGGTAAAATTGTAATAGTCCTACCGGACCATAGAGCTGCTCTCTCATTAAAGAGTGTTGACTGATGGTTTAACCTGTGGGTCATCACACTTCAGGCAAAGGGAAAGGTAGAGGAGAATCCTTCATGGTAACTTCAACTGGTGCAAAAATTGAACGTATCACTCTGCATCACCAACTAGCCATCCAGCCAACTGAGACAACGAATCCCTTATTATCAATCCAAACTATTAATGCACCACCAGTAGACTCTTGACAAAGAGAAGTGATGGAAGTAAAGCAAGTAAAAAGAGATGAAAAAGATTGTTAACAGGGCTATCAACCAGGATTTGCTTTACAATAACCTGCTCACTGAAGCTCACTTGGGTTCTATCAAAGCCACTCAGCTACTGACCTCACTACAGCCTTGGTTTGCACATGGACAAGATTGACTAAAACTGAACTGGACTAGGCATATAAATACAAATGGCCAAGAACAGATCAGAGGCTAGGAACATAGGCAGAGAATAACTCCCCAAAACCTGCCCTCCAACTGCAAAGCACAAGCACAGAATCTGGTGAAATACTGCCAATATGCCTGGATTAGTGCAGCTCCACCAACACTCAAGAAGCTTAACACCATCCAAGTCAAAGCAGCATACTTGATAAGCATGATATCCACAGGCATTCACTTCCCCCAACCACTGATGCATCTATAAGATACACTGAAAAAACTCAACGTTGCTCTGATAGCAGCTTCCAATCTCAACCACCATCTAGAAGGACAAGGACAGTAGTTACAGGAGAATACAATCACCTAAAAGTATCCCTCTAGATAACATACCATCCCAACTTGAAACTATATTTCTGTTGCATCATTGTTGCTGGGTCAAAATCCTGGAACTCCCTTCATAACAGCACCAAGTGTACCTACAGCAAGCAGGTTACAGAAGTTCAAGAAGCCCTTCTTAAATGCAATTAGTGATGAATAAAGATGTTGGCCCAGCCAGTGAACCCCACATTCCCTGAATGAATTAAAACTCTCGTGGGTAGAAAAACTAAAGATCCTCATACTTTGAGTGAAGACTTTTCTTCTCATCTCGTTACTAAGCTATTGACCCTGTACAGAACTGTGGTCCAGGTCCAATCAGGGAAATAACACCTCTGTCTGTCACACCACTTCATAAATCTTTCTTATTTCAATAAGACAACCTCTTATTCTTCTAGACTCTAGAGTACACTGACCCCGTTTACATTGTTGAAAGGATTAACCAGTGATGAAAGACAATGATGCCAACCCTACCTACCTTATTCACTCTGCCCACATTTATCTGTATCTCTTCCAGTATAACAGCATACTTTCTGAAATATGATGTAAATGGCACAAAACATTCTAAGCATGATCACACCAATGTCCCATACAGCTATGCAAGATCTCTATTCTCGCTCTGCAATCCCTTTGCGATAAAAGGCCAGCATGCCACATCTTTTCATTTAAGTCATTAATATAGATTATTAATAGCTGAGGGCTCAGCAAAGACATTTGAGACACTCCACTAGTCACAGCCTGCCAATGTGAAAATGCCCAGATCACCATTCCCAACTTCATGAGCTCTCATCTTGAGTTGCACAACATCAAATGAGTTTTGGAAAACCAAGTACCTGTATACATGTTTTGGTTTCCCCCTTAGCTACTATACTATCTATATCTTTCAAAAGCTAATACATTTGTCAAAGAGGATTTCCTTTTCAAAAAACCACGTTGACTTATTTTAAACATACTATGTATTTTTCAGTACACTTGAGATATTTCTTAATAAAATTCAGCAGTCTGATGTCAAGCTGATTGGTTTGAAGCCCTTGGTTTGCTCTCTTACCTTCTTGAGTATCAAACATTTGCCGCAATTGTTCCAATATCCAGGAAGTGGCGGTGCTGGATTTGGAGTGGGGTGGATAAAGTCTTAAAATCACACAACACCAGGTTATAGTACAACAAATTTATTTGAAATCACAAGTTTGGTGCGATTTTTGACAATATCCAGGAAACTTTGGAAAATCATTGCAGCATATTCACCGTCTCTGCAGCTATCTCTTTTACATGATAGAATGAAGGTCATTAGATGGTGGAATTTTGATGATGTTTTCACTAGTACTACTTCTCTGCTGATACTGGTTAGCTCAAATTTGCTCACTCATTAGCACCTGATTACCCTCTATTTTGGCAAGTAGCTTGTACTTTGTTGTGACAACAGACACACGTTGGGTGTTCAATGCCTCCGCCACTTCCTCACTCCCGATAATTCATCCAATTTTCAGTTTTGTTATTCTTTGCCTTTTCACATATTTGCACAAATTCTTCCAATCTGTTTAAATGATATTCAGTAGTTTACTCATATTCAATTTTATTGCTCAAATTTTTGGTGGCACTTGGTGGCTTCAAAATACTGAATCCTCAGACTTCCTGCTTTTCTTTGCAAACTCCAATACTATCTATACCTTGATTGCAAACCACGAATGAATCTTGAGAAGTTTTCCTTTCTCAATGCAATATGTTTTGGTTGAAATATTGAATAAGTATTTCCCACTGTTAACTTACATGCCTTTATATGCTTACACATTCTAACTTGGCTAATGGCACTTTAAAATGGATCATTAAATCAACTTCAAGTTAAAAAAAACACAGATCTAGGAGTGATCTTTTAGGCCTTAATTAAATGTGAATTTCTAGATGTTTTAAGAACAAATTAACGAAGATTGTGCAGCACCTGAATTTTTAAAATCGAGTTTATTAGAGATAAAAGACCATAGAATTCAATGGGACCGCACTATCTCATCACACATTTAAAAAAAAAAAAATCTTAAACTTCTGATGTTTGAAAAACAATTGACGTTTAATCTCTGCTTTGGAGAGTTCTTTTTCCCCTGAAGAATGTTTTTTCTCCCTTCAACAGAGAGACTTCATTGCAATTTTGTTTTAATTATTCCTTTTAGCCTGTTTACTCAATCAAACTCTTTGTTCATACCTATGTAATTGCCTTTGAAGTAGTTCAGGTTGTTTTTCCTCTGATTGGAATATGACATTTTCAAATTTTATGTGGAAATCAATTGTAGTGATCTTCTATGATTACTAATTAGTCATGCCTCATCATGCAATAACAATGACTAAAATAACCTTATTGTTCATTATTTCAGAACATATAGTATCAGAAAACACAGTCACAACAGCATTCTACAAACTCATCTTCCAGACCAATCATTGCTTACTTGATTTGTCCAGTTACAACGGTGTTCTATGGATAAATTCATTGCGTTAATTCACTTCAAAGAATATCCTTCACTGTCTATGGATCAAAATCCTGGAACTCACTTCCTATCAAATCTATAGGTGTGTCCACACTAGATGGGTTACAGCAATTCAAGATGGCAGCATGCCACAACCTTCTGAAGTGCAATTAGTGAAGGACAAAAATGCTGGCATGTTAGTGATACCCACATCCTATGAATATAATTTAGAAAGAAAAATGTCCTGCAACGTATACCTTTTTGAATGTGGTTACTTATAATTTTGAGAGGTCAGCTTAAGATACACTCAGTCCTCACTGAACGTGGATTGGCTACCCACGGATCCACGTACTCAAGATCACCCCGGGCCTGTTTTATTCCCCCACTAGTTGACAGGTCCTGAAAGCTTGCCCGATTCTTCGCACTAGATAGAGGATTCTTATTGTATCACTATCCACATTTTTGTGTCATCCACAGAAGATCCATACTCCCATCCCTTGTGGATAATAAGGATTTTGTGTCATCAATATTACTGGTTTTAAAAGTTATTTAGGAAGTAACATTGAGTGGCCTTCATTTGTCAAGAGCAAAAATACAATTATTAACCAGAGCTGTAAACAATGAAGACGGGAGGACCGGGATGTAGACCAACTAATACGTCGTCTATATCTCATTACATTAGATCTTATAACGCGACTGACAACATTGCAAGATTGAGAGTAGCAAATAGCTAAACCCTAAGAAACTGCAAAAATATGTAAAAATCTACTATTTATGAAAATGCGTGCTGTTTTGGTCGTCACATTACCAGAAGGACATGGAAGCTTTGGAGAGAGTGCAGAGAAGGTTCACCAGGATGTTGCCCTGTCTCAAGGGCATTGGCTACGAGGAAAAGGTTAAAAAGATGGCGGTTGAGAGGCGACCTGATAGAGGTCTACAAAATTATGAGAGGCATAGGTTGGGTGGATAGTCAGAGGCTTTTTCCCTACATTGAAGTTTCAATTACAAGGGGGCACAGGTTCAAGGTAAGAGGGCAAAAGTTTAAGGGAGATGTGCGAGGAAAGTTTTTCACGCAAAAAGTGGTAGGAGCCTGGAATGCACTGCCAGAGGTTGTCGTGGAAGCAGGCACGTTTACAACATTTAAGAGGCATCTGCATGGTTATATGAATAGGGAGGGAGTAGAGGGATGTGGACCAAATAAGGGCAGAAGCCTTGATTTTTAGTTCAGTCAGGGCATGACGATCAGCACAGGCTTGGAGGGCCGAAGGGCCTGCTCTTGTGCCATACTTCTCTTCTGTTCTTTTGAAAATATTGCATTAACCATTGAAACTATATTGGATAATGACTATGTAAACAATAAATAAAAAGACTTAAAACATGGCAAAAACACATTATTCCTAGCAGTAGGTTTAATGAATCTATACCGGACACATACCCAGACTAGCACTGCCTTTTGCAATGGTAATGGTTTTCTCAAATCCTTTGGCTAAGGACATCTGTTTCTCATCACTCTCTTCAGTGGAGGACATGCTGCAAGCACCCAAGGAATTTTCTTGTGCATCCTTAAAGAGTGGAATAATTTTGAAAATATCAAAAAGACATGTCCTTCTAAATAGCTTTAAAATATTCATAACTGAAAGAGGAAAGGTGGAGCACTCTAAAAACCTAAGATTATCATTTCACCCTGCTCCCATTCAAACCACATGCCACATTAAACAGAACATTTGGCCAGCGTAGGAATGCAGCAACTCCTTCCCGATTCCGGACCTCACTGAACTCCTTTGGTACAGAAATCTATGGAAAAAACAATACGGAGAACCTATGCATACAAGTCATATCAACTTAACGTGCATTGGGTTGGGGAGGGTTAAGTTGCAAAGTTATCCAAAGGTTAAGTGAGGATTTTTACATTTAACATTTTGTGGGTATTGTCCAGGTACGGATGATGTAATTATTCAAAATAGTCTATCTTGGAAGGTCCTCTGGATCAGGGAATTCACCGCTGCTGGAGGTTCAAATGTCTAAATGAATTCCCACTGAATCAGTATTGGAACATTCATGAGCTCCAACGCGCAAATCAGGTTATCTGTCCAATCTCCGATGATCTTGAGAAAAGGAGGTTTGTCAAGGTACCAAAAGAATTTTAAGAATTGCTTTTAAATTTGTTAGTGCATATAGTGCATGACATTATTTACACTGAACCATGTAAAATTGAAAACACTGAAGGAGCTTCAATGAGTCAGCTACCGTAATCTCACCTTACTGATTTTGACAAATAGCCTTATATGAAATGCATATCCTAGTACCCAGTACTAGTTAAATGTTGACAGTTACTGCCTCTAATATCGTTTCAGGATTCGATATCGAATTTCAGATCCCCGACCATCCTGAGCAAAAAAAAATGTCATCTGCAAAGTTACTAATCAGACCAGCTAAAATAGTACTAACGAACATCCCAGCACTGATCCTTGCAGAACACCGCTATTCACAGAACTCCAGTCAGAAAAATACCCTTCCACAACTACCCTCTGCCTAACAGTAAGCCATTTTTGTATCCAAATTACCAACTCACTGTGGATCCCATTCAATTTAATTTTCTGGACCAGCCTACCAAAAGGGACCTTGTCAAAAGTATCTGACAAGTCCACGTAGACAACATCCACAGCGCTCACCTTAATCATATTCATCGCTTCCTCAAAAAACTCGAATTCGAGAGATAAGACCACCCCTGCACAAAACAACGTTGACTATCCCGAATAACTACATTTATCAAATGCAAGTAAATCCTGTTCCCAAGTATCTTCTCCAATAATTTCGGGCGGCACGGTGGCTCAGTGATTAGCACCGCTGCCTCACAATACCAGGAATCCAGGTTCGATTTCACCCTCGGGTGACTGTCTATGTGGAGTTTGCACATTGTCCCCATGTCTGCGTGGGTTTCCTCCCACAGTCCAAAGATGTGTAGGGTGGGTGGACTGGCCATACTAAATTGCCCATCGCGTCCAGGGATGTTTAGGTTAGGTGAGTTAGACATGGAAAATGTAAGGGTAGGGGAATGGGTCTGGGTGGGATGCTCCTCGGAGGGCCGGTATGGACTTGTTGGGCCAAATGGCCTGTTTCCATGCTGTATGGTTTCTGTGATTCTGTGACTCCTGCAAGGCTCACCAACCTATAATTTTGTGAATTATCCCTATTGTCCTTGTTCAACAAATTAACATCATCGGCAATTCTCCAGTCTTATGGGACCTCACCTGTGGCTAAAGAAGATACAAAGATCTCCGTCAAGGCCCCAGCAATCTCCACCCTGGCCTCCTTCAGTACCCTGGGATAGATTCCATCAGTCCTTAGGGACTATCTACCTTAATGTTTTAAAAACACCCAACACTTGCTCCTTAATATGAACATGCCCTATAATATCAACATATTCCTCCCTAATCTTATCATCCATATCCTTTTCCTGGGCGAATATGGATGCAAAATGATGTACTCATTAAGGACTTCATACACTTTTGCTGGCTCCATGCCTAAATTTTCTTTGTCCCCGAGCAGGTATATCCTTTCCCTAGTTATCCTCGTGCTCCAAATATACAGATCGAAGTTCTCCTTAATCTTACATGCCAGGACATCTCATGGCTCCTTTCAACTCTCCTATTCCTGGTTTTAGTTCTTTTCTGCTTACTCTATATTCCTCAAGGAACTGGTCTGATTTCAGTTCCCTAAACCTTATATATACCTCCTTTATGTTTTAGATAAACTTTCAAAATCTCTTTTCATCCAGGATTCCTGAATCTTGCCATTCTTATTTTTCATCTTTAAGCAAACATGCTGGTCCTGAACTTTGATCAATTGGCCTTTAAAAGACTCCCATGTGTCAGATGTGGAATTATCCTCAAACAGCCACTCAATCTAATTTCTCCAGTTCCTGTCTAACATTGTTGTAATTAGAATTCCCTATCTGATAGTTATCTATCTTAAAACTTACAGAATTATGATCACTGTTGCCAAAATGCGCCCCCGATGAAACACTGATCATGTGGACAGACTCATTTTCCAGTTTTATTTTATCTAAATGCAAGTGTAAGGTAGTGCGTTCCAGATGTGATTCAATTGGTTCATTACTAGGCTTTAAGCAAAACACACTTTATTCTTACAACATAAAGTACAAACAAAAAATAATTAGCACAATTTTAACTCTATTGAATACTTAAAAATATTATTTAACTGCTAATCATCAACTTTTCCAATAATAGCAACATTCCAAAAACATACCTTTCACAAAGGCAAATTCAGCAAAACAGATTTTCCTCACATCTCCTCTCTAGTCTAAGAGAAAGGAACACAGAAAGCAAGCAAACAAATCAGGCTGCAGAGAGAGTACTCAAGCTTTTTGCAGCAGCACAGACAGAGCTGTATCTATCAGTTTCAGCAGCCAACTCCAAACCTCAACTGAAAGCAAAACTAAAGCCCTGGCACTATGTGAGCCTAACTCCACCTACTCATGGGATAACAAGGTATAGAGCTGGATGAACACAGCAGGCCAAGCAGCATCAGAGGAGCAGGAAGGCTGACGTTTCAGGCCTACACCCTTCTTCAGACCCTTATTCCACCCACTCATGCTTCTTTTGTCTTAATTTAAAAATACTTAGGGAGCTCAAAGCTGTTTAACAATTGCTTCTAATGCAGACATGTTGGCACTATGGTGTCAACACCCTTCTTCAAGGGAAACAGTACAGAACATCTGTTAAAAGGTACAGCATATCATCACACCTCTCCCACCTTAAAAATATAGACAAATAAAGAAAGGCGGCTTCATTTTCAAAACCTTTAGTGTCACGCCATTACTATGCTACAATTCAATACTACAGTCCATATCAACCTGTTTCTTTCAAACACACTGTCTCCCATCAAAGTTGTGACAACACATCTGCAATTATGTTTTCTCACTGTAGCATGTGTGGAATTTTCAAATAGAGTGGCTGTAACAATAAACTCAACAAAACAGCCTGGTTTTTACAATCCTTATCTTTTTCCAAAAACATTAAGAGGTTATGATCAGTATACACAATTGTCCTTAGATTCATTACTTATAACCTAAATGTTGAAATATTGCAACACCAACACCAAACGTAAGGTCCCTTCCTCAATGTGGAATATTTCTGTTGATGAATATTCAACATTTTGGAGAAATACCCAATAGGTTTTTCTATCCTCTTGGCATCTTCTTTTAAAAGGACAGTACCGACACCCACAACACTCTCATTGACAGCCACCTTGAATGGTCTTACATAATTACTTGTTGCTAACACCAGGGCAGTGGTCAAAATAGCATTGGGGCTGTCAAATGCCTTCTGACACTCATCTGTCCACTGAAATCTTCTGGACTTCAAGTCAGTCAATGGAGCACATACACTGCTAAAATTTATTATGAATTTGAGGTTAAAAACCAGTCAGACCCAGGAATCATAGTTCTTTCCTCTTCAATGACAGCATGGCAAACTCCCCAATAACCTTTGTTTTCACATGCCATGGGGTCATCTGTCCATGACCAACGATATGGCCTTGGAATGGGACTTGGGCTTTTGCAAACTCACCCTTAGTCAGGTCAAGCCCACCTCTTGAAGCGATCAAGCAATTCAGCTAGATGTTCCAAATGTGTGAATAAAAATCATTAGTCTATGTACACCACACAATTAGATAATCCCATAATAACCTTATTGGTTAATCTTTGAAATGTGACTGGTGCATTCTTCATTACAAATGGCGTGAATTTAAGCCTGTAAAGAACATTTGGTGTCACGAAAGCCGAGATTTCCATCGCCCTCTTGGATAAAGTTACTTGCCAGTATTCTCCGAGTAAGTTCGGCACAGATATATAATTTGCTTGTCCCACCATCTCAATACAGTCTTCCAAACATCAAATAGGATATGAATCGTATTTTGTAACTGCAGTGATTCTGCAGTAGTCATAACCATTTGGTACCATCTGGTTCACTTTATGTTGTCTATGAGTGGGCTTTTAATTTTTTTGAAATTGTGCCAATTTTAGACAGTAAAGCCAATTAGAAGTTGCTTAATTGGAACAGCATTTCCTATATCTATATCATGCGAAATTGTGTTCAGCTCCGGTCGCCTTATTATAGGAAGGACGTGGAAGCTTTAGACAGGGTGCAAAATAACAGTCTAAGGGCATCATATGTCTGATATAAGTTACTTCATTCGATCCTTTCAAACTCTGTACAGTTGACAAGGTTCCTCCTCAGATTCCCAAAACATTGTCCATAAGTTTCTGGCCCTAGCTCATGTGCACTTAAGATGGTTTTTTTCTGCCACCTCATTGTACTCCCCAGACACCTCCTCTGACAGTGATGCAAATACCTCACTTGTTCCATCAACCCAACTTTTTTGGAATCAACAAAACACACATGGTGAGTGGCTATTTCATTTGTTTAGCCATTTTCTCAAAATGAAAAGGGTTTCTTTGTCCTTCTCAACGAACCTTGGCAATGCTTGGACATATTTAAATAGATCCCCAACGGGCCTTTGGCTATGATTTATTCACTTT